CATTAGAAAGGCAAATGAATTTTAAATTAGGTTTCTAATGAATCAAAGACTAATCCAAAGGGGTTCTTTTAAGTGTATAGGACAAGGGAAGGGAAAAATAGGACCCGAAACTGGGAAGGAAGCTGACGGATAATGAACTGGGAAAAGTGTTCCATTTTAAAGACTATTTTTTGTCAGTTTTTACAGGAAGATGTAAAGAGATTCCAGAATTTAAAAATTTTTATTCCTGATGAAATTTAAAATTAACTAATATTACTGTACAGGGACAGGATTCGGATGCAAAATGAAAAAAAATAAGTCCCCCGGGACCCGATGAGTTGTTTTAAAGGTACTTAAGGATGCAAGATGGAGCTTAGTCAGCCATTAACGAGTGAAATTCAATGCGTCCATCCTTACCAGTGTTGTGCCAGAGATGTGGAAGAGGGCTAATGGGTTCCTATATTCAAATCAGGGGATAAGTCCACTCCTTCAAATTACCGTCCAATAAGCCTGACATCTATAGGGGGCAAGTTATTAGAATCAATTATAGCTAAACATTATCAGAAGTCACCTTGAAGAGCATAACTTGATAAATGAATCTCACATGGATTCACGAGAGGTCTTCCTGCCTGACAACTTACTGACGTTCTTCAATAGAACATTTGAGGCAGTTGACAGTGATAAGGAATATGATATTGTTTATTTGGATTTTAGTAAAGCCTTCGACAGAGTACCTCACAAGAGACTCTTGAGAAAAGTGGCAGCTCATGGTATAGGAGGTAAAGTTCTAGCATGGATTGAGGCATGGCTTACCAATAGAAAGCAGAGAGTTACCATTAATGGAGTGAAATCTGAATGGGGATTAGTCACTAGTGGCGTTCCACAAGGATCAGTTTTGGGCCCTCTCTTGTTCATAATTTACATTAATGACCTTGATGAAGGGATTACTAGTGACATGAGTAAGTTTGCTGATGATACAAAGATAGGCCGTATAATTCACTCTGAGGAGGATATCAATGAACTCCAGGACGATTTAAGAACATAAGAACATAAGAATGTAGGAACACTGCAGAAGGCCTACTGGCCCATACGAGGCAGGTCCTTATCAAAACGACATCTACCTAAAGCTACTCAAGAAACAACTCCCGCACCCCCCAACACCAATCAAACCCAGCCCCTCCCACTCATATATTTGTCTAGTCTCTTCTTAAAGCTACCCAAGGTCCTAGCCTCTATCACCCCACTGGGAAGACTGTTCCACGCATCTACAACTCTGTTAGAAAACCAGTGCTTACCTATGTCCTTTCTAAATCTAAATTTATCCAACTTAAATCCATTATTCCTGGTTCTTACCTGGTTCGAACACCCTCAGTACTTTATTAATGTCTCCCTTGTTTATGCCCGTCATCCACTTATACACTTCAATGATATCTCCCCTCATTCTACGCCTCTCCAGAGAGTGGAGATTTAAGGCTTTAAGTCTATCTTCATAACGGGAGGGGCCTTACACCGTAAATCATTTTAGTCATCTTCTCGTATGTTCTCTAATGAGTCTATGTCCATCCGTAGTAAGGGGACCAAAACTGAGCAGCATAATCTAAATGAGGCCTCACTAGTGATGTATAGAGCTGTAAAATAACTTTTGGACTTCTGTTACTTATACTTCTCGAGATAAATCCAAGTAATCTGTTGGCCTTGTTGCGCACACTGAGGCACTGCTGTCTTGGCTTTAGATTTCTGCTTACCATGACTCCCAAGTCTTTTTCACATTCTGTATGACCAAGCTCTACTTCACCTAGATTATAGCTTCGAGGGTTATTTTCATTACCAAGGGCAAGTACCTTACACTTATCCACATTTGAACAAATTAATGTCTTGGTCTGAGAAATGGCAGATGAAGTTTAATGTGGATAAGTGTAAGGTACTTGCCCTTGGTAATGAAAATAACCCTCGAAGCTATAATCTAGGTGAAGTAGAGCTTGGTCATACAGAATGTGAAAAAGACTTGGGAGTCATGGTAAGCAGAAATCTAAAGCCAAGACAGCAGTGCCTCAGTGTGCGCAACAAGGCCAACAGATTACTTGGATTTATCTCAAGAAGTATAAGTAACAGAAGTCCAAAAGTTATTTTACAGCTCTATACATCACTAGTGAGGCCTCATTTAGATTATGCTGCTCAGTTTGGTCCCCTACTACAGGATGGACATAGACTCAGAGAACATACAGAGAAAATGACTAAAATGATTTTCTGTGTAAGGAACCTCCCGTATGAAGATAGACTTAAAGCCTTAAATCTCCACTCTCTGGAGAGGCGTAGAATAGGGAGATATCATTGAAGTGTATAAGTGGATGACGGGCATAAACAAGGGAGACATTAATAAAAGTACTGAGGGTGTCCCAACCAGGTAAGAACCAGGAATAATTGGGTTTAAGTTGGATAAATTTAGATTTAAAAGGACATAGGTAAGTACTGGGTTTTCTAACAGAGTTGTAGATGCGTGGAACAGTCCCTTCCAGTGGGGGGATAGAGGCTAGGACCTTGGTAGCTTAAGAAAGACTGGACAAAAATATGAGCGGGAGGGGCTGGGTTTGATTGGTGTTGGGGGGTGCGGGAGTTGTTTCTTGAGTAGCTTTAGGTAGATGTCGTTTTGATAAGGACCTGCCTCGTATGGGCCAGTAGGCCTTCTGCAGTGTTCCTACATTCTTATGTTCTTATGTACTGGTTTTCTAACAGAGTTGTAGATGCGTGGAACAGTCTTCCCAGTGGGGTGATAGAGGTTAGGACCTTGGGTAGCTTTAAGAAGAGACTGGACAAATATATGAGTGGGAGGGGCTGGGTTTGATTGGTGTCAAGGGGTACGGGAGTTATTTCTTGAGTAGCTTTAGGTAGATGTCGTTTTGATAAGGACCTGCCTCGTATGGGCCAGTAGGCCTTCTGCAGTGTTCCTACATTCTTATGTTCTTATGTTCTTAAATCCAACCCCTCCCACTCATGTACTTATCCAATCTAAATTTGAAACTACCGGCCCCCAGGTTTCCCTGAATTCCTTCATAAATGTTTACACTCCAACAGTACGTCAAGCTCTAAAAATCATTTGTTTCCATTCGCTCCTATCTAACACACTCACGCATGCTTGTTGGAAGTCCAGCACTTATACCTCGAAAAAAATTCAGAAAATTAAACTCACGCTGGGCAGACCGTGTGTTGTGCTGTAGGTGTGTGATGTGTGCCGGCACAACAACAGGAGCCACTGTCAGCAGCAAGAAATAAATGTTCTTGCCAATCATGGTGACTTGAGTTTGAGGCGCAATGAAATGAATAGATTGATTCGGCAGGAAATGCGTCCTGGCTCGGGCCTAATCCTAGGATGACACGTCTGAGGATTTCGAAGTTGTCGTTCTAATTCAGCTGTTCCTCTTTATATAGACCAGAATATTCGTAGTAATAGTAGTAATAGTAGTAGTGGTAGTTAAGAACATGGTATAAACCTTGGCAATAAATACCGACAAGTTGTTAGGTTTGTAGATGAATGGTTCAGAGAACCGACATGTTGATAAATTAGACACATGTGCAACTCTTGGGTATCTTTATTGAGGAAACGTTTCGCCACAGTGGCTTCATCAGTCCATACAAAGTTGTGATGAATGGTTTGAAAAACCGACAAGTTGAAGATTGAGACACTTATGCAGCATATGGAAATCTTTATTCAGGAAACGTTTCGCCACACAGTGGCTTCATCAGTCCAATACAAAGAGGAAGGCGTAAGGAGAGGAGGAGAATGAGGTAATCAGTCCCTCAACCTGGAGTCGATGTGTTCAGTCCATCAATCTTGTAGACTCCAGGTTGAGGGACTGATTACCTCATTCTCCTCCTCTCCTTACGCCTTCCTCTTTGTATTGGACTGATGAACCCACTGTGTGGCGAAACGTTTCCTGAATAAAGATTCCCATATGCTGCATAAGTGTCTCAATCTTCAACTTGTCGGTTTTTCAAACCATTCATCACAAAGGAGAATCTTGAAGAACAGGAGGAGAATGAGGTAATCAGTCCCTCAACCTTGAGTCGATGTGGTCAGTCCATCAAGATTGATGGACTGACCATCAGGGACTGATTACCTCATCTTTTGTATATAGTTCTACTGTCTTCCTATTATGTCCTAGAATCTGTATTGATAAAGCCACTGGATGGCGAAACGTCTACAATAAAGATATCCAGATCTTGCACATGTGTCTTAACTTTCAAAGATACCCAAGAGTTGCACATGTGTCTAATTTATCAACATGTCGGTTCTCTGAACCATTCATCTACAAACCTGTCAGACACTGCAACTTCTTGGGAATTCTTCGCTTGCCTAATTCTTGGGCACGACCTACTTCAACATTGAACAAATGTTACACGACCTATGACTGCTGCACCTCTCCTGCCAACGGTTTATAAGCTCCTTCTCAGCACGTATGCCGTATTCTATTCAAGATTGATGGACTGACCACATCGACTCAAGGTTGAGGGACTGATTACCTCATTCTCCTCCTGTTCTTCAAGATTCTCCTTTGTATGGACTGATGAAGCCACTGTGTGGCGAAACGTTTCCTCAATAAAGATACCCAAGAGTTGCACATGTGTCTAATTTATCAACATGTCGGTTCTCTGAACCATTCATCTAAATACCATTTTAATGTTCAGAGATGTGCAGTGTTCCTCCATTCTTATATTGAGAGTTGGGAAATAGAAACTAAAACCTTGGGAAGACTCAAAAAGAGATCAGATATAAAAATAAGTGAGAAGGGCTGGATTTGATAAGTACCTGAGATATTGAAGCAAATGTTTGGGTAGCTTTGGAAAAAGGTTGGACAAGTGGGTGGGTGTGAATGGTTGGTTTTGAAAAGGATCTGACTTCATTCTTATGTTCTTTCACCACGACAACTATTACCACCGATTTTACCACTACTACTACTGGGAGAATATAAAAAGGTGCTCTGGCCTGCAACTGTCATTACTCCTAAACTTGTGCTCAACACAACAATAATGGCTGGCATCAACGTCTTCCTCACGTTACTGACGGTCGCTACTGTCGTCGTCTCGGCACGCTTCTCGCCTCACCATAACAACTACATCTTCCGTTCGGATTCCCAAGGTTAGTTTATTTGCTATTTAACTCTCTTATTTGTTTTGCTTTCATCACTTCTAGTTCTGTGATAAATTGTTTAAAAAAACCGGTAACTTATGTTGCATAAATGTCTTTAACTTCGAGTTCTCTCTTAACTGGTTATTCATGATTCTTTACCGTCAATATAAATGTTCTAAGTGTCTGCTTATGTGTCTTCAACCATTAGTATTTTATGTGGAAAATCCTAATCTACTTAACCTAGTATAAACTGTATTGAAACTGAAATAGATTTTACTTTGTGTAAATAACGCTGTATATTTATAATTTTACTATTTCTCTTTCACAGATATTAACTCTTTACGCCTCTCACAGTTGAAATCCAGCGGCTCTTTCAGAGGTGGACGTCTAGAATCCAGCGAGCTCAAGAAACTCTTCCATATTTCCTCAGTTCCACTTTACTCTGCTGCCCCTGAGCCACATTACACTTCTGCCTCTGAGTCGCTTAACTCTGCAACTCTGGAAGTGAATCATTATGATATCCCACAAGAAGTTATTTCTCATCTTAATATAAAGACGCTAATTCCTGAGTTAAAGTCACTATTTCTGGAGTTAACACAGCTGATTGACTCTAATCTCGATATAACTAAGCTGCTTCCCGAGTTAAAGAGTTTAGTCATCGGGTCCAAGCCAGAGTTGAAGAGGATTTTCATCGAGTTTAAGCGTGAGTTCAAGACACTTCTCACTGAGTCTAAGCCTGAGTTACGGGCACTGCTTCATGAACTGTTTACATTCCTTATCGAGTTCATGCCTGAGATTAAGGAACTATTATCTAAGATTAAAAAACTATTCATTGAAGCCAAGCCCGAGCTGAAGAAATTACTTTACAATTATAAACCTGATTTTAGGGTTCTCTTGCCTGAGATGAAGACATTACTCGTGGAGTTCAGGGCCGAGTTAAAAACATTCTTTCCTGAGTTCAGGGTAATTCTTCCAGCTTTGGGACAATTTTTTCCAGAGATAAAGTCACTGCTTCCCGAATTTCGGTCACTGCTTCCCGATATACGTTCCTTGTTCCTTGAGTTGAGTTCACTGGTTTTCGAGTTGAGAACACTGATTCCCGAGGTAAGGGTACTGGTAAACAAGTTGAGAGCACACGTTCCTCACTTGAGAACACTGGTACCAGAATTGAGAGCGCTGGTTCCCGACTTGAGGGCATTAATACCTGAATTAAGATCTCTGATCCCTGAGTTGGGACTACATTACGAGTCAAATCCCGAGTTAAAAACACTTCTTCTTGAACTAAAGAGATTGACATTAGAATTAAAATCTGAATTAGTTCACCTTCATTCTAAACTGAAAGGATTATTCTTCGATTCAAAGTCCGAGTTAGCTCTACTTATTTTCGATCTAAAGAGACTGTATTTAGAAAGCAAGACTGCACTGAGGCCTCTACTCGGTGATTTAAAACCTTTGTTCCTTGAAATGAAGCCACTGATTCGTGAGGTGAAGCATTTGCTCTTCGACCTTGGGTACCTACTGCTCAGCTGATTTAGTAAATGATATTTTCAACTATCTTCAAATCTTTTACTTCTCATATGTATATATTCAATAAAAAAGGTGAAATAAATTTGAAGTTGTTTTCTGAAAACTATATTTAAAAAAAAAATGGTGCACATATGTGACGAGGCTAATATAATATAATCTACCAAAAATGGGCTCGAGAGAGGATGGGTTCCCTATTACAGTGTATTTAATATTGCTAAATATTCTTAATTATCAGCTAGACCTCTTTGCGTTTTTGGCGAAGTATATGAGAGTTAATATAGGGTATGACAATAAATAAATAAATGGTCATCAGCCAAGAATCGTCTATCAGTTATAATTATGTAAATATAATCACAGTAAATAGGTTTTCGAATAAATCTAATATACTTTGGCTACATTCCAAGTGATTAATTTACCATTTCAATAAATGTTTACGTTCAATAATAGAGATAGTCCACCATATTTTAAAATTACATGTAATTTGTAAAGAGAATATGTGAAAAACTTATTGTTCACAAAGTATAATGAATTTTTCCATTTTATCTGGAACAAGAATCACAATTTATATGGGAAATAAGCAAATATATATCTTTTTACTAAGCCATAAGAAAGTAAACAAAAAAAAGAGATTAATTTAAACAGTAATACACTGAGTGTTTACAGTTAAAACTCGAATTGTTTCTCAGGATGGTGTTCACTTATTTAGTGATGGGGTTCACTTGTCTCTGTCGGGGGTGGGAGGACTAGACTAGAAATAGTGATATGGGTTTTGGGGGCAAAACAGTGAAGTCCCAGTGTAGTAACATTGCAAGTTTTAGGGAAACCAGTAATAGGTAGAATGAGGTGAATACTGGTATTCCAGTGGCACTAGGTGACAAGGACAGTAACAGGTATAGTGGAAAAACAGACGTAGTGCTAGGAATAAGATGGACGAGTTGAGATTAGTAGCAAGTGCGGGTAACGTTTAAGTATTTGCCACAACTGAGACTTGGTTTAATACGAATGTCACATTCAGGGTTTTAAATTGTTCCAAGTAGACAGAAGTATCGCAAAGGAGGGTGGGATGGCACTGTATGTCCGAGATAGCTTGAACTGTTGCATACAGACGGGGAAATGATATGGTGATACCGACAAGATGTCGAAGGAGACACGTACAGTTGAGGACATTTATTAAAGGAAACTTTTCGCCACGAGTGGCTTCTTCAGTCCTAATACAGAGAAAGTTGCTAATCAAAAGGATATTACCCATTCTGGAAACTGCTGTTACATGATGTCAGCAGGTCCCTCCGTAGCCACCTTAATTCCGCTACTACTACTACTGCTGTGTGATGAATGGTTTTGAAAATCATCGATTCCAGGTTGAGGGACTGATTACCTCAAACTTCTACTCTCCTTACCCATTTCTACTTTGTATTGGACTGATGAAGCCACTGTGTGGCGAAACGTTTCTTCAGTAAAGATTCCCATGTGTTGCATAAGTGTCTCAATTCTTCAACTACCACTACTACTGTTTGTAGATGAATGGTTCAAAGAACCGACACATTGTTAAATTAGACACATCTGCCTTTATTGAGGAAACGTTTCGCCACACAGTGGCTTCATCAGTCCATACAAAGGATAAACTTGAACAGGAGGGGAATGAGGTAATCAATCTCTCAACCTTGAGTCGATGTGACGAGGGCATAGTCACTGGTAGGCGGGATTTCCCAGTGGAAGTAGGTCCTTCCCAAAGAGATGGGTTAGTGATTCAGTTCAACGTACGTTCTTTATAATTAGACACCTACTGGCCGAGCTCCTTGAAGCTGAGAGGCCAGATATTGTTTTGCTAAACAGTACCTGCCTCAAAGCCCCTCAACGTATCCGCCATTATGGTTATGCTGCACTACAGTCCCCTTATGATCCCCACGATGGGGTTGCCATCCTTGTCAAATTCAACATAGAACACGAATTTCTCCCAATCCCTTTTATACAACAACACTGTCTTGCAGTCAGAATACACACCCACCTTGGCCCCTTTATCTTTTTCACCACCTATGCTCGCCCAAACACTATTCTCAACATACACGACATTTCCTTAGTCTTCAACTACACCAACATACCTACTAGCTGATATGAATGCCAAACACACTGCTTTTCATCACACCAGTAACAACCAACTTAGTCACCAATTACTCACTTCACAAACATCAAACACCTAGTTCACCTCGGTCCAGACTTCAACGCCTACAATCACACTGGCCAAGGCAAACCCGACATCATTCTGGCAAACCGAGCCAGCTCTCTCTTTCAACACTACGTATCACTTGGCCCTATTACAGGCTCGGATCACATTCCCGTCATCTTACACATCTCCTCCAACCCTATCCTCATCCCGGCCACACCTTCCTTCTACAAGAACGCTGACTGGGATGCCTTCAAACAACACATAGATAATACTAACCTCACCTATGACTACAACAAACCCATCTCTGACATTGACACTCAACTTGCTCTCATCCAAGACACCATTACACAAGCAGCCAACACCGCAATAATACCAAAGAAAACCCACACCACTCGTTATTCCTTCAAACCCTCAATCAGAACAAGAAGACTAATTATCTGTTACCACAACCGCTTTCTCTACAACACACAGATTTAATCAAGTCCGATTAGATCTCACTTACCCCAGAAACAACATTCTACACAGTCTAGACCAAGACCACAACAATCATTGGTCACAGCTCTTACTACAAGCGGACAAACAGTGTATCAAAAACACAAAAGCCTTCTGGAACTTTATCAAAAAAATCAGAGGCACCACTCCCAACAACAAATTCAAACACATCATCCAGAACAACACACACATCTCAGACCCGCAGGCTGCTACTAACATCTTCAAATACATCTGGGAGAACATCTTCCACCCTCACCCACCCTCACCCACCCTCACCCACCCTAACGCTATTCAACACATTCAGAACATAGAACACTGGAACACTACACACACACACGAAACAACACCAGACAGCCACATACATCTAGACACTCTTACCTCCTCCCAAGAACTTGACACTAATTTCACCAACACAGACGTTATGTAAAGTAAAAGGACACAAGTGCAACTAATGTGACATTTTATTGTGACAACGTTTCGCTCTCCAGGAGCTTTATCAAGTAATGGCTTCATAAAGCTCTTGGAGAGCGAAACGTTGCCACAATAAAATGTCACATTAGTTGCACTTGTGTCCTTTTACTTTACATTTATTTTTTTTTATTATCACACTGGCCGATTCCCACCAAGGCAGGGTGGCCCGTAAAAGAAAAACTTTCACCATCATTCACTCCATCACTGTCTTGCCAGAAGGGTGCTTTACACTACAGTTTTTAAACTGCAACATTAACACCCCTCCTTCAGAGTGCAGGCACTGTACTTCCCATCTCCAGGGCTCAAGTCCGGCCTGCCGGTTTCCCTGAATCCCTTCATAAATGTTACTTTGCTCACACTCCAACAGCACGTCAAGTATTAAAAACCATTTGTCTCCACTCCTATCAACACGCTCACGCATGCCTGCTGGAAGTCCAAGCCCCTCGCACACAAAACCTCCTTTACCCCCTCCCTCCAACCATTCCTAGGCCGACCCGTACCCCGCCTTCCTTCCACTACAGACTGATACACTCTTGAAGTCATTCTGTTTCGCTCCATTCTCTCTACATGTCCGAACCACCTCAACACACCTTCCTCAGCCCTCTGGACAACAGTTTTGGTAATCCCGCACCTCCTCTAACTTCCAAACTACGAATTCTCTGCATTATATTCACACCACACATTGCCCTCAGACATGACATCTCCACTGCCTCCAGCTTCTCCTCGCTGCAACATTCATCACCCACGCTTCACACCCATATAAGAGCGTTGGTAAAACTATACTCTCATACATTCCCCTCTTTGCCTCCAAGGACAATCTCTTGTCTCCACAGACTCCTAAGTGCACCATCACTCTTTTTCCCTCATCAATTCTATGATTCACCTCATCTTTCATAGACCCATTCGCTGACACGTCCACTCCAAATATCTGAATACGTTCACCTCCTCCATACTCTCTCCCTTCAATCTGATATCCAATCTTTCATCACCTAATCTTTTTGTTATCCCCATAACCTTACTCTTTCCTGTATTCACCTTTAATTTTCTTCTTTTGCACACCCTACCAATTCATCCACCAATCTCTGCAACTTCTCTTCAGAATCTCCCAAGAGCACAGTGTCATCAGCAAAGAGCAGCTGTGACAACTCCCAATTTGTGTGTGATTTTATCTTTTAACTCCACGCCTCTTGCCAAGACCCTCGCATTTACTTCTCTTACAACCCATCTATAAATATATTAAACAACCACGGTGACATCACACATCTTGTCTAAGGCCTACTTTTACTGGGAAAAAATTTCCTCTTTCCTACATACTCTAACTTGAGCCTCACTATCCTCGTAAAAACTCTTCACTGCTTTCAGTAACCTACCTCTACACCATACACTTGCAACATCTGCCACATTGCCCCCTATCCACCCTGTCATACGCCTTTTCCAAATCCATAAATGCCACAAAGACCTCTTTAGCCTTATCTAAATACTGTTCACTTACATGTTTCACTGTAAACACCTGGTCCACACACCCCCTACCTTTCTAAAGCCTCCTTGTTCATCTGCTATCCTATTCTCCGTCTTACTCTTAATTCTTTAAATTATAACTCTACCATACACTTTACCAGGTATACTCAACAGACTTATCCCCCTATAATTTTTGCACTCTCTTTTATCCCCTTTACATATTGTCGGTAATTCTACCAACTTTATTACAACACAGACGTTAAAACTTTCCTCAGACACCTTCCTCCCAAGGCCCCTGGTGCCTCTGGCCTAAACCATATTATCCTGAAACACCTTCCTGACTCTATCATTACTGCCTACACAAACCTCAATGCCTCCCTTGCGTCTGGATACTTCGCTTCCCTCTTCAAAGCTGCTACCCAACTAGGTAGACTGTTCCACTCATCAACTACCCTATTTCCAAACCAATACTTTCCTATGTCCTTTCTAAATCTAAACTTATCTAATTTAAATCCATTACTGCGGGTTCTCTCTTGGAGAGATATCCTCAAGACCTTATTAATATCCCCTTTATTAATACCTATCTTCCACTTATACACTTCGATCAGGTCTCCCCTCATTCTTCGTCTAACAAGTGAATGTAACTTGAACATTAAAATGGTATAAAATACCGACAGGTTGTTAGGTA